AGAAAAAGACTATTCAAACCAATACTTTTTCGTCAATTTACTTTTATATTTCAGTGCTCAAAAACTTCATTCTAAAACTGTTAGTAACGTATATTTCTTTACTTAATGTCGGAAAAATATAGCACATTCTCACTGTTCACCGGAGTATTAAGGAAAGCGTTGAAAAGTTCATGATTCATGATGTTCTCACTGCTTCCCCCGCATAGTGTGATGCTGCACACGGGTGCGCAGCATCACACTCCTTTGCATGCACGGCATTCTCATTTTGTCTCTATAATTTCTTTTATACTCGCATAAACACAAGCACAAGATGTTCACATACATTCCGATATTCTATAAGGATTTAATGTAAGAAAATACATAAATTGTATACATGTATATATATATATATATATATATATATATATATATATATATATATATATATATATATATCCATGTCCGTATTACATATAACATTATATATATATATATATATATATATATATATATATATATATATATATATATATATATATACACAAATTTTCGAGGGTACCCACTTTCGAGGTAGTGACATTTTATATTTTTTTTATGTATCTTCTGAAACTCGTTGGTTTGTGCATGTAATATATAATATGATGAGAATGAGTATAGATCAACTAGTCTTATTCTGTAGAATACAAACCAAACCAAATTTATCGTACTTGAGAAAGTATAAGATACCAACTTGAAATTACGATATCACAGGCCAAAACATACTTGATTACTAGGGCAAAATATACACAGAGATGGCATAGCTCAGTGGTAGAGCGGTGGCTTTGCAATTGCATGGTTCTACACACACACACATATATTTATACATACATACATACATACATATATAAACAAACACTATAATTGGTACAAAAAGATGAAAATAACTGACGAGCGTAATGTTATAAACATAATGGATATACAAAGAAAACTTTGACATGGTTATATAACCAGAAAAAGGCACGGGCAAATTATGAATTAGTGGAAGACTAGAGAAAGCTTTACTTATGACCGTGTAAACTCAGGCAAGCCCCAGTGACCAACACTTAATTGGCAAGTCGGTTTTTAATCAGGAGGGACCTTTATTTTTTTCTTGTAGGCGAATTTATATAGGAAAAATAGATAGCTCTCAAGTTTCCATCGTTTTTCAGGTGAAAAGCAAGTTTGATATGCATTTATATATGTATATGTGTGTGTGTGGATTTGTGTATGTATTACGCGAGTGCCCACTTGAGTATATAACATACTGAAAAAAATGTGCATAGAAAAAAAGTAATAATAAAACAAGCTACAGGTTGAAATACATTTACCTTTAATCAAAAGTGAGTGTACATCATCGAAACAGGTAAAAGAGCCGCCTATTTGCCCAAAGTGAAAGGAGAATAATGCTCCTTTAACAGTCATTTTAGCCAAAGAAGAGCCACCCAAAGGTGATGGTGGAGCCAGTGGGAGAGTGAGCGTGGTGGTGAAGCACCTGGGAATGAAACACAGCAGGATGCAGCGGGTGAAGGTGACGCTCACTTGACGACGGTCTTGAACACTGTCATTCTGTTCTTCAGTGACCAGTTTGTAAACGGGAAGGTCGCCACAGAAGTTGGCAAGATCCGAGCCGATCTCCTCCTCAGGATTGTCGAGGGAAACAGCGGAAACTCTGACGTCAGACTCAACCCTCATGCCATCATCCTGATGGCCTTTGATGAAGGCTACTTGTTGCTCGAAAGATTTAACCAGTCGCCTCACGTAACACGCCTCCTGGGATACCACTCGAGATGCTGCTAGACCCTGCGAAGTGCATAAATTTTGATATATTTATGGTCATTTCCCCGGAATTCATACAACTGAACAAATTGAAGAATTCTCATGCATTATCAGTTCAAAAAACAATAACGTAAAGTTCATCATAGTATCCAGTGATGACCTAACAAGTATTACTTACCACACTATAATCCTCCAGAGTTTCCACGTCATCGAAGTCGTCGGATTCAGGCATGTGGAAGTGAATTTTCATGGCAAGGCGGTCTACATCCACTTTCATGCAGCTGTTTTCAGCGGCGCTGTTTCCCTTGTAACATATTTGGTAATCCTACCAAGAAAAACGGTCATCTTTTGTAATATTAAGTATGCTTCACATGAGAGATAAACTGAACTGTTGTAGATGTGACAGAAAAGGTAATAATTTCTTGCTTAAACATGCATATCAACAGCGTGTTCATACCTGAACCTCAGCCAGGGAGAAGCCTAAAGGACGGCGGAGAGCCAATCTAGCCATTCGTGAACATGGTGTTGATCTAAAGGATCACATATTAGTAATTACAGTGGCTCTTCTTTATTAAAGATGTGCATCGCAGCATTCTTGACAACTTGACATCCATTCTCTCCTTTTCCTTGCTGCAACCTCTCTATACACCGTACTATCAATAGGTTGCAGAAACACTTTCTCCGCCTTTAGAATTTCAGGTGATACACTGAAAGATTCAATCATATACACGAAGGGCCTTGCCTTCATTTTATAGCGTTCACGGGTTAAGACATACATATCATCACATAATGCACAAAAAAAAAACAAAACTTTCGCATAAGTGATTCTACCGGCAGTTGTCCACTGTTCTACATACAACCTTGTCGTTGCAAGAACTCTTTTCATACTTTATGCCCGTCTTACTTGGCCCGGTTCCCATTAATTAGACAGGTAAGAGGTATGAGAATCG